CCTGTGCAGCCACACAGCTCACACCTCCCCAAGGCCAGCTCTGATGGCACCCCCTACCAAGTGGCACCCGGGGTGGACCGACCCCCTCTTAGTACGCCACTGCACATAGCATTAAAAGGAAAAAGGGTTCAGACAAGCATGGCACCTGAATCACAGTTTAAGATGGTCTGACCAAAATTACCTCCACGGAGGCCAGGCCTCACTCCTCTGGGGTCACAGGATTAGAATGCCTTCAGGGAGCAGGGCCAATCAGAGCTGGAGACTCGACTCCAAGGGCCTCAGGACTTAGTTAGGAACATCTATCTAGACACTGTAAAAATTGAGGGATCTCTTCTGGCCAGTGGGTGGAGATCTATTCATTTTGGTGTCATGCCATCAGGCTGAAGGGGAATCCACATTTGTATGGGACATTCTGCTCTCATAGGGCTAGTGTGACAGTCCGCAACACTCTAAGGCATCGAGGGTCAGCGTAGAGAGGTTATTACATAGAGCGACTTCTGCTCCTCTAAAATTCCATAGAGGCCACAATCTGGCTTTTATCATGATTTTTTCCTTTACCAGAAAGTGAAGGCAGCAGACGAGATCCCTTGGGGTCCCATCTTGAGATCACAGTCTGACTGCACAAAGTGCCCTCTCGCATCTGGTCTGTTCGGGTGCCTCTTCAGTAAGTATCAGGCAGAGTAGGAAGGTTAAAAGACCTTCGACATCCTCTTTCCCGGTGACTTGGGCACACCTTGCACCCGAATGTTGCAGCGCCAGCTACAATTATCCAGATCTTTAGCAGCAGGCTGGAGTTGGTCACTGATGTAGTTTATTGAAAATATTGTAGTTATAAGGTGTTGTTTTTAAATCCGAATGTAATCCCATAATGACCAAAGGACAGTCTATGCATTGCAGGGTTTTAACATACCTTGATGGCATTGACCAATGGGAGGCAACCTTTGGCACTCCAGATGTTGTGAACTACATTTCCCATAATGCTCTTAGAGCCATAATGCTAGCAAAGCATCAGGGGAGATTTAGTTCACAACATCTGGAGTGCTAAAAGTTGCCTACCCCTGGCATAAACCATCATGCAGTAACGGTATGAGCAGGGGTATTGGAACATAGCCCATTAATAGAAATGTGTTTAAAACACGTATGAAATAAAACCACAAACAATTTAATATTTTGACTCAGGTTTGTGAAAAAAATGGTTAAATGAAAAGTGTCAAATTGCTCTTAGTTTTTAGTATTTAGCCTGGTGGATGTACTTTTTACAAAAATATACTTTTGTGTAGCTGTTTTGGATTCTGTGACTACTATAAAAGTTGCACTCTCAGCATGCCAAATTATGTAAAGATTTAGCTTTAAAACACCTAGCATTATTTATTTCATAACTTCGAAAAATGAATTGAAAGCCTAGACATATTGGGCATTTTAATAATCAGGACTAATTTGTGAATCTATTTTCAGTTAGTTTTCTCTATTATTAAATGTGCAATCCTTATTTCTCCTTTAAAAAGCATTATATATAATATGTATGGGTGCACATGAACAGGAAGTGGGAAATTGTGGTAGAATGAAAACAAAGTAACAAAAAGGCCTTGGTCACAAACCATAGCTTAAGTGTATCTTAAATTCAAATGATATATTTTTCTTTTCAGAACCACATGACATATCAATTAATAGTAGCAAATAAGTTCCTAAAACTTCTTAATCCACAGATTTAGTTCTGCATCTTGTTTCCATTAGATAAATTCACTATTGAGTTTTGAGCAGCCTTTAATATGATTTCTTTTTTTTTTTAATTCTTTATTTTTGACGTGCAGCGAGATAACATGGGTAAGTTACATCTTCAAAATAATAAATCACATATGCAGTTATCCAGCAAACAGTACGAGGAAACTGCACAGGTTTTTGTTTTTTTTGTAACATGGAAATTATAACAAAAGTTACTCAACTTTAATATGATTTAAATATGTGGATATAATGAAAGTGTACTCAATGCATCTTAGTTATCAATATACCTTTCAGATAGGCTGTTATACTAGACAATTGTTTAACATTGTTTAAATACAGATATACTATCATTCCACAATTTTCCGAAACATTTACTTACCACATAATACAGCTCCTGAACCTTTCTATGTGTATTAACTCGTACTTGGAATGGTACACCAACCTAAAAAAAATAATATAAATGTTTTCATGCTTTCAATCATGCTTCCCATCCTACCCACATTTTCATCAGGATAACTGAGAATCTCTTGCATATACTCTGTCACTCCACCATATCCCGTTAGTATCATTGTGCCCTTTGTAATGCATGCTCAGATTTTGTGCACTCTGTGTGGTAAGTTCACTTCTAGTTACCTTGGACTCAGTCTGTAACACTATGAAATCAACATCCATTTACTAAATCTCTATCTCCTTAAAGTATTTGGCACTGACTGAATTGTGGCTGTCTCCCTCTAACACCACTACCCTTATCTCCTTATCTACTGGATTGTACTTATCCCACTCTCCAAGACCATCCAATGCAAAGGGTGGTCGTGTTGAGTTTTTGCTCTCCCCTAAGTGTTGTTTCCAAACTTGGCCCCTTCTTTCTCCTTCTCACTCCATCTGTCTCTTTAATCCTCTTTCAGTTCTTGTTGCCATTATCTACGCCCACCTTGCTCTCCTTTACTGTTGCCTAATCATTTTTCTGCTTGGCTTCCTTACTTCCTCTCCTCTGACATTCCTTCAGTATCCCTGTTAATCAATCTAACAAATTAATAGCCTTTGGATTTCTGTCTGTCACCTCCGTCTTTGGCCTTATTTAATGGACTAACTCCCCTACCCACATAGCCATGACTTTGTGCTTCCAACCTTTGATTTGTCTCTAAATACACTTTCCTTCTGACTACTTTCTTCTAACCTGCACGGTCAATGTGCCCCTCTCTCAATATCTGAAATCTAGCTCATCTCGTGATATTAGAAATCTAAGCTCCCTTGACCTGCATCACTTCTCTCCCTTTCTCCACTATCCACTTTTTCCTCTTTCAACTCTGATGTCCCTCTCAAGCTACATCATACTACAATTTTTTTCCTGTCTTCTGCACTAGACATAGATGTACCAATTAAAGCTCGCTCTATGCACCAACCATCCCATCAACTCTGACACAGCATGTTCCCATACTGCAGAACACCCCACCTGACTTCTTTAATTACAAATGCATGCTTCCGCACTCTCCCTTGCCAAGCAAGAGTATTAGACTTAGCTCATCTGCACCTTCTCTTGTGATCTCATATGCCTCTTCCATACCTTTATTCTGTCCCACTGCAACACGGCCATTAAATATCCTCACAGTTAGTGATTCCTCGAGTCCACCTCTCTGCTAGACCCGCTTCAGTCTGGTTTCCGCGCTAAGCACTTTGTGGAAACGGCACTGACCAAAGTATCCAATGATCTACTCGCTGCAAAATCTCGTGGTCACTACTCTATCCTAATTCTCCTTGACCTGTCTGCGGCTTTTGACACTGTTGATCATCAACAGCTTCTTCTCATCCTCCGCAATATCGGTCTACAAGATACTACTCTCTCCTTTGACTTTGGCTTCCAATATCTTTTTTATGCAGATGACACGCAAATCTACCTGTCCTCTCCTGATCTCTCCCTGTCCCTCTTGACTAGTGTCTGACTGCCTCTCTGCTGTTTATAACTGGATGGCTGCCCACTTCCTTAAACTAAATTTGACCAAAACTGAAATTCTGGTCTTTCCTCCCTCAAGTGTTGTTACTCCTGTGTCTGTCTCCCTCCAAGTCAACGGTGCTACCATCAGCTCCACCACGCAGGCTCGCTGCCTAGGTGTTCTCTTTGACTCCGACCTCTTCTTCAAGCCTCATGTTCAATCTATCGCCAAATCCTGTCACTTCCATCTCAAAAACATTGCGCGCATCCGCCCCTACTTAAAGCCAGATGCGACTAAGGTGTTGGTCCATTCCACTGTCCTTTCTCGCCTTGACTACTGTAATCTCAGTGGTGTTACGTGCTCCCAACTAGCCCCGATACAGTCCATAATGAATGTGGCGGCGAGGCTCATCTTCCTGTCCTCCCGCACCTCCCATGCCTCACCCTTCTGTCAGTCCCTACATTGGCTTCCTATAAAATATAGAGCTCAATTTAAAATTCTGGTTCTTGCTTTCAAATCTCTACATAATGCTGCTCCCACCTATCTATCCTCCCTTATACACAAGTATGTCCAGTCTAGGCCCTTACGATCTGCAGAAGACTTATGTCTATCTTCTGTCTGTACTCCCACCTCTGATGCTCGCCTTCAAGATTTTTCGAGGGCTGCACCGTTCCTGTGGAACTCGCTTCCCTCCTCCGTTAGATGCTCACCCAGTCTCCACTCCTTCAAAAAATCATTAAAAACCCATTTCTTCATAAAAGCGTATCAATTAAACTGTTAATAGCTCCTGACTGATTCCTCTTCTGCAACTGTCACTAGTCTAATACTATCCTTACCTTTTTGTGTCATTTTACCCCACTCCCTCTAGCATGTAAGCTCATTGAGCAGGGCCCTCAACCCCTCTGTTCCTGTGTGTCCAACTTGTCTGGTTACAAATACATGTCTGTTCGTCCACCCATTGTAAAGCGCTATGGAATTTGACGGTGCTCTATAAATATCATAATAATAATAATAATAATAATTTTGCATGTCACTTTGCTGATGGGATTAACAGATGAAATGTATCCTCTTTCCTCCTTCCATTCAATACTCAGCTTGCATTCTGGTCCTTTTTCCAACTATTTACTCTTTTCACAATGTCTCTGAACAAGAGGTTTTGAAACTACTTCTATCCTTTCGCCCCACCACCCGTTCTTCTGATCCCATGATATTGATATTAAAAATATGTACTTATGTATTACCGTCTTTGTTGAGTTTGAAATTCTGATCTTGGCATAGTTGCATGCGTCGGCATCATAATAATCATAATAATAATAATAATAATAATAATAATCATACAGATTCCAACCTTGGTAAGCATTTTGGTATTCAGCCTGTAAACAGAATTATTGGTTATTGATTAATTAATCGTCTACTACAACGTTATTGAAAAAATATAGTATTAAACAATTTTGGTTATAGATTGCTGTTCAGGGATATCTAAAATTGAAATTAAATGGACACTATAAGCACCCATACCATTTCAGCTTGTTGAAGTGGCCTAGGTGCAGTGTCCATGTCCCACTTAGTTCTGCAATCTCCCTTGGCGCTGGTTTAGCGCTCCACCTCCTTCGACATTATCTGATGGGGAGTTAATGCGCCTGCACTGCATGTAATCATTGCAGTTTTTGATAAACTGCAATGATTACATTGCAGGACTAAGACTGCCTCTAGTGGCTGTCAAGACTGCCTCTAGTGCCTGGCACCCCGACTGGGTACCTCCTTTAGTCGATGCTCCTAGTGCTCACCGAGGACTCCAAGCACTCCATCTGACACCATCAACACTGCAGTCCCCATGTCCAGCATTACAGCTTGGCTGGGAAGTCGTCGTCCTCCACCCACCCACCCTGGACCTAAGACCAGGATCCATCTTCCAGTGGGTGAGCCTCTCCTACTCAAGAGAGCGTAGCAGGAACAGCTCTTAAAAGAGCTAGTGATTATAATCCCAGAGGAGTATAGTGATGTAGCAATCCCCAGGGTAGATACAGCCTTTTTCCCCACACATGAGATGAGACTCTGTTGTGGGTAAAACAGAAACTCAATTTTAATGGAGGCACACTGGCCTTTTATGCAGGTTTCCCAACAAGGGTGACACCCAGGTGGACCTTGTTGGGCACAGGGATACACAGTTAATAAACCAATAAAAACAGAGTTTTACATTGAGACACTCCCATATAGCATACACAATCCCTCCCCTCTGCTTGGGAGATAATTGAGTTAATTACTGTCTGTATCAACTCAATTATCTCCAAACAAAAAATGGACACGTTTATATACTTATGTATGTTTGGAAACACCCCAAAATCATAATGGAACCCGATAAAACATTCATCTCTTGAGAGCCCCGATCTGGGGGAACAACAAACTTAAAAATCACCCAGACCGGTTCAGGGGTTCAAAAGTTAGCTGTAAGTCTTTTTTTGACCGACCGCACGCATGGTTTCATGCCCAAAATAGTTCCAGAGAATTACGCTGTGCGGACGGTCTATTTCGAACAGTCGAAGTAACGTTCAAATAGTCGAATGGAGTCGTACGTGCACAGAGTCAGTGAGTGTATCTGGTTCAGTAGATTATTTCTACCGAATGGTGCTCCGTTCGTGCAATTCTAGTTGAACCTAACTGGAGGTGGAAGTCCCAGCGGTGTTCAAGTCATCGAGTGTCTGATTTTAGTTCCATGCGCTCGATGACAAAACACCGCTGGACGCATTTGACTAAACAAGATGGCCGCGCCACGTGTTCAACTATACGAACAGCGACCACCCAGCCGTTCATCAATTAAGCTGCGGTTAACCACAAGTCTGGCAGTTTAATAGGCTGCACACTCCACTCGTGGGTGGTCTGACTGTTCAGTTGTTTGTTCAGTAAACGAACACCATAAGCTAATCCATTCAGTAAGCCCCATATACTGAACCATAGAAGGGAAAAGGCACAAAAAAAGCCTTTCCACAGTCCTGCACCAAGGTCTAATACAGGGGCCATAGTCCTGGGGCAAGAGGCTGGTAAGCAGGCCGCTTCAAGTACCAGTGGCAAGGTCATTTTCTCCACACCTTCCCATACTGAGGGGGGAAGGTCAGAGGAAACTATATTGTAAGAGATACAACTATGTATTGCTAACAGTATAGAATCCCTTTAAGTGCATCAACACATATTATATATGGTTTTGTTCCGGAGAAACAGGGCTTTCGTTTTACATCAAATATTTATATATGAAACATAATATAATATGAATATTTAATAAGAAACTGTTATTTTCTTAGTTCTGTATGGTATTTTAACTGTGAATGTCATAATACTGTTAGCTTATACTGCAATAAAATACAGCAATGTATTCAGTGATAAATGCAATAAAATACAGTGATGTCTCACAAGTACAACAGTACCTCCCAAGTCCAGGTTTTATAGTGTTTTGAAAAGTTACAGGGTCAAATATAAGGCTTACCCATTTCAACTTTTACACATTGAAATTTGCTAGATTGGTTATGTTGCCCTTGAGACAGTAACATAAATATACACCTACAAAAAAATAAAAATAAAAAAAATTATATATATATAATTTTTATTTTTTTTTATTTTTTTGTAGGTGTATATTTATGTTCCTGGGACTGGCCAGCAAACAACTTCCTTGCCTCTGCGCTCCTGTTTGTCCTGGGCCTGGTGACTTGAAGGATGGATATAGAAGGTATCCTGTCTGCCCTCAGAGCTGCTGCTGCCTTGGATGGTGGTAGGCACCTCCAACCTGGTCTAGTCGCCGGTGTGGGTCCCCCCCCCCCGTGGTCATGCCTCACCTTAGGCCTGGTATAGGACCTGGAGCCCAGGCCTGAGGCGCCGTCAGGCCCGTGTGTCAGCTCCATCTGACACGCGGCCAGCTCCCCTTGTGGTCTCCAGTACGCTTCCCGGCCTTGGACGGTGAGCGGTGGGTGCGAACAGACGGGTGGCACAGCTAGTAAAGCCTGAGGTATCTGGGAGGCGTTCCCGGACGCTGCGTGGTTGGCGCACCAGTGGATCCAGAGCCGGGCCGGTGAGAGTGAGTGGGCTGTGCCGCCATTGGGGGGGTCTTCTGAAAATTAGGGTCAGCCGGGGGGTTCCCCTCTCCTTCCCCGGGTTCTGTCCATAGTTCGCCTCTCCCTCCCCCCCTGTGGTGTCCTCTTTTATTGTCCCCCCTCTCCCTTCGGTCCTGGGTTCCCTCCCTCTCTCTTCCCCTTTTCTAGTGCTCTGTCTGTTACCCTCCCTCCTCCCCTCCTCGGCTGCCCTTCTCAGCGGGGTGTGAGCTTACCTCCTCTACACTGCTCTTTTCTCAGGATCTGGCTGCTGTTCCTGGAACTGTCCAGCAAGTGGTGCCAGGAGCTGCTGCAAGGCTGAACAGTGCTAAAAATGACATTGACTTTGTCCTGCCTGGATCATCTTCGTTTTCTTTGCCATGGGAGGTTCCTCGAGCATCGGCTGGTGAGTACACTAATGTTTCTTCTTTTCAGTCCAGGGGTTCCTCACTGGGGGGGGTTTCTTTTAGGGCTTAGGGATTTTCTGGATCAGTGGGAGCAGGGTGTGCAAGCAGGCAGGGACCCCCCATTAGATGGTCAGCTTCGGGCAGTGTGGTCCTCGGCGCTGCAGCCGCACGGGGTTATGGCAGTTCCTGGGGTCCCTGGGTCCCCCTCTCCCGTGGTGGGTGGCCATGCTGGCATCCCTGCTACAGCATTGGGTGCCACAGCGCCTGCTGTTGCTAGTGGGTCCTTGGTTGAAACCCCGGGTGTTGCTGACATGGGCATCTGGGCATTTTGTCTCATATGTTCGTTCTTCCCGCCTCCTAAACTGATGTTTTTCTCCTTATGTGGGAGTCCCTCCAGGGTCTCGTATGTCTTCTGGGCCAGGCAGCGGGCGGCTGTCGGTCCGGGAGGTTTCACGCCTTCTGAAGCGAAGGTTCGCTGGTTTGGGAATAGAGGTATGAAGTGGGTTCGGCTCCTCCCTGAACTAGTTTAGCTTTCCCGGCTTTTGGGTCCACCTAGTGTTCTCACCTGGGGGTAATGATCTTGGGATGATGCCTATTTGGGGTTTGGGGAACGCTATTAAGAGGGATTTAGCGTGGGTCTTGGTTTTGTTCCTGGACGTTAGGCTTATCTGGTCGGAAGTCATTTCACGCAAGTACTGGCAGCGAGCCCATAATCAAAGAGCCATAGAACGCTGTTGGGTTAAATTTTATCGTATGGTCTCTAATTTTGTGTCAGGGGTTAAAGGGATCCTGGTTCGCCACAGGGTGTTTTGTTCAGTAGGGATGTCGTGCACCTAACGGAGGTTGTGCTTGACCTCTTTAATCTTTCTATCCAGGAAGCGGTGAAACAGGCCTTGGTTCGTTTGGGTGGGGCTTGCCAACAGGGTTTGGGAATATCAGATGGAATGTCAGGAGATGGACAAGGTGGGTCTCAACCTCCCCTGCTCCAGGGCCGGCGCTACCTGTTAGGCGGAATAGGCAGTTGCCTAGGGCGCCCCTTGGGCCCCCCTCATGCTGCAGCCACCTGAGCGCTCTGTAGAGAGCCTCAGGTGGCTGCAGCTTTGCCCGGGCTGGTGCGTCCATGAGGGTGCACTGCCCGGGCGCAGCATGAGGAGAGGAGCTGACAGGAGGGAAGCGCTCAGCGCTCCCTCCTGTCACTCCCTCAGTGTAGCGTAGCCGAGCCCTGTATGGTCCGCGGGTAAAGGGAGCATCTGTCTCCTGTGCCCGGCCAGACTAACAGGAAGTGCACACTGAGTTTGGCCGGGTACAGGAAACAAAAGCTCCCTTTACCCGCGGACCATACAGAGCCGGCCATGCTACAACAGAGGTAGGGAAGGGGGGAGAAATAAATTGACAGGGGGGGAAATAAATTGACAAGGAGGGGGGGAAAGAAATTGACAGGGAGGGAGAGAATTGACGGGAGGAGGAAAGAAAGAAGAGAAAGAAATTGACAGGAAAGAAATTGACATGGAGAGGTGAGAAAGAAATTGACAGGCAGGGGAATTGACGGGGAGGAAGGGGGCCGAGAGTGGGGAGGGGGAGGGGAGAAGAGAGTGACAAGGGGGGGAGAAGAGAGTGACAAGGGAGGGGGAGAGATTGACATCCATCACACACACACACACACACACACAATCACACACAATGCACCCCTTACACACAAAGACAATGCACCCCTTGCACACAGAAAAACACACAATGCATTACACACACAATGCATTATACACACAGACACACACACACACACAAGCAATGCAACCCTTACACACAATGCATCCCTTACACACAGAAACACACAATGAATTCCTTACACACACTCAATGCATCCCTTACACACACTCAATGCACCCCTTACAGACGCACACACTGCATCCCGTACATACATAGAAACACACCTTGCAGCCCTTACAAATACAAACACAGATTCACACAATGCATTCCTTACACACATATCAGGACATCCCCTACAAACTCTCTCTGTGAACAAACTCATTGGTGGAGCATGAAGGTGGACCCTGGGACCCAGACCTTGAGCTGTGTAAAGGGCCCCCAAAAATGGAGCTGCTTCCCGTTCTCCCAGAACATTGATTTTTGTGACCACAGTTACAAACAGCCTCCAGAGATCCTGTTCTACACCAGACCAGTGGAGCCAGACTGCAGCCAGAGCCCATCACCATCCTCATCTGGTTGTAAGTAGGCAATCTAGTATATTATTTGTGGCACTAATCTCTAATTTACCTCACATTAAAGAAACACTATAGTCCCCAGAACCACTGTAGCTTAATGTAGTGGTTCTGGTGTCTATAGCCTGTCCCTGCAGGCCTTTTAATGTAAACACGGCGGCACTGCAGCACTGGCATTAGTTAACATGGCAGATCATATGGGTGGGGCATTGTGATGTCACATGGGGGGGGCGGAAAACCTTACTTTTGCCTAGGGCGGCAAAAATCCTTGCACCGGCCCTGCCCTTCTCTGTAAGGTAAACTTTTCAGTTACCAACTTGGATGTGCCCACCGAGCTAAAGCCAGCTGGTGGTGAGCATTGAAAGAAAAAGGGAATTTTGGTTTGGACGAGGGGGGAGGCAAGAGCCCAGTGGGCAAGTTTTGGTGCATAGGCACCTGGTTAAGTTCATTGGTAAGGACGGTTATTTAAGCTAAAGGCTGTAGGGCAATAAGTGGTTATTTATATGTTAAGTTATGGTTAATGTGCTTATTTATATTTAAATCGAAGGTTAATAAAGTTTGGATGAGTCCTACAGTTGTATGTTTAATAAATGCTGTGGCCTGTTTCATCCAATATTTGGTGTCTGTCATTATTAGGGGGAGAATTGGGGTAAGTTCTTTACTCTTAGATGCTCCACATTCCCTGCTACGTCCATACATAACCCTTTCTGTCCTTCATTGGTTTCATCTGAATGGTTAAAGTTTCCTGCAAATTTTTATTTCATTCAAACTTATTTCTAGGTGTCTGTGCCTTTTAATATAGCCACTGGATTCACTTATTACTAGGCTTCTGTGTATTTTAATATAGCCACTGACTGGGGTGAGAGAAATTTACAGGGAGTGTGGGGTGACTGGGGTGAGAGTGTGTGGATGGGGGGTGACAGTGTGTGGAGGGGGGTGACAGTGTGTATGGAGGGGGTAATGTAGTGTGGAGCAGGGAGGTGATCCAGTGTGCAGCAGGAGGGTGATACAGTGTGAAGCTGGGGGTTGATATAGTGTGGAGTAAGTGGGAGATATAGTGTGGAGTGGGGAGGTATAGTGTGGAGTAGGGGGGAGGCGATATTGTGTTTTGCTATCAAAATTACCTTTTTTCAAAATAATTATTTCCTAATACATTCCCTGGTGGTCAGGTGGGCAGCTTTTGCAGGTGGTCCAGTGTTCTGTTTATCTGGTCTGCAGCTGAGTGCAGAGCTGCAGACCACATGGTAAGTGTCTTGTGATCTCCAGCAGAGACAGAGCGTTGCCACAGCAATGCTCTGATTGGCTGGAGATTGCAAAACTGCAGTGCTTGGCTCTCTCTCAAACCAGACTGAGGGAAGGGCCTCATACCCGGCGGCATAATGAGCAAGCTGCCGGGCCACCTCCCTACATCATAGATTTAGGTGGCCGTCAAGCCTTAATCAGTGCATGGCCTTAGGCGGCCACCTAAATCGCCTAATTAGAGAGCCGCAAATATATTCATTGTGGGACAAATGCATTCATCCCACAATGAATATATTTGTGGCCCAGCAGGGCTCTCTAATTAGGCAATTTGACATGAGTTTGACATGCTTGCCACAAGATTTTGCCACGACATGCTTGCCCTAGATACAGTTTGACATGCTTGCTCTAGATACACTCCTCTGACATTTTTCATTCTTGAATCCTTGTCCTTGCCACCATAAGGAGCTTACTAGATTATAAGAGGTAGAGAGGCAGTACTGGAAAAAAATGAGAGGCAGTACTGGAAAAAAATGAGGCAGTACAAAGGCCAGAAAACACCTTAAGATTGGCCTTAAGGGACTGGCCCTAATGGAATGTAATTGTACCATCAAAAATATAGTCTAGGTTATGACTACATAATAACCAGCAGTTTGAACAAAATATTTTCTTGTTCAGGTTCTTTGGGACAGATGAAATGGCTGTGTGTAAATTTGTATTGGTCTTTCTTTTTCTAACTATGGCTTCAGTTTAAAAAGTTTTCCAAATGATTCAGTCCTGATAGAAAATCTTTCAAAATAAATTATCTACAGATGTCACCAATACAGTCTTTTAGAAATGTTGTAAATAATATATAATTTGAAAAGTTTTTTTTCCTAACAGATTGGAATAATTTGGTAAGCTTATTCAATCAAGGCCCATGTTATTCTCAAAGACACGTTTGATCCCAGAGACAATTGATCGTAGATATCTAGCAACAATTACTCACTGACCTATTATTTAGAGATATTTATAGGTATTTTACAAAACGGAGGTCTTTTTTCTTCCATTTCATGGTATATAATCAAGAGGGAGAATAAATGTATCTAAGATCATTGTGATAATAAGAATAATCTGGTAAGAAATTGGCAAATGAAAGAAATAAGAACATCTATGGTACAAAATAAGAAGGGTAAAATGCTGCTTGTGGTTCCTAGTGTGTGGTGGTAGGCTGCTTGTGGTGCTGAAGATTAGTGGGGACACTACTTTTTAAGTTTGCCTGTGCAAGGAGTGGCTGCTTGTAGTATGTTTCTCAGCATGCTGCTTGTGGGGTTGAATATGTGCACGATGCTTGTGGTGTTACATATCCGGGGGAGGCTGCTTGTAGAGCTGCATGTTTGGGTGGGAGATTGTTGTGGGTTGTGTGTCTGTGGATTGGGCTGTTTGCTGTGTAGTATGTGTTTTGCATGTGAATAGAGGTTGCATGTGGGTAGTAGCTATAGTATATGTTATTAGAGAGACAGGACCTAAGTGAGTGTTTGGGGGATGGATGCTGCAGAGGTTTTTATAGTGTTAGGGAATATAGGGTGTTTAAGGAAATGAGGGCCTTAGTGTGTGGGGAGGATGGGTGCTTTAGTGTGTGAGGGAAAATGTTACTGTGGTTTATGTGTGCGGGGGAAATGTGCCTCAAGTATGGGTTTAGGGACTGTTGTGTGTGTTGAGGAAATATAGGGGCTGTTGAGTGTGTGTGTTTGAGGAAGATAGGAACTGTTGAGTACGTGTTGAGAGACATAGGGTCAATTGTGTGTGAATTGGAGTGATAGGGAAAGTTGTGTTTGTGTGTTCTTTGTGTTGGTGAGTAATAGGGGCTGTTGTGTGTTGGGGAAATATGGACTGTTTTGATCATTGGGGGTGTGTTAGGGTCTGTAGGGAGGGAGGGAGGAAAGTAAGTGTATCCCCCCCACCCTCTTGGGAGTTGATCAACTGGCTGCATCATTTGGTCTGCACCGTCCATGGGTGCAGGCAACTTGCATTGCTTAATCCAGTAACCCTTGGCAATGCTCATAGGAGCAACGCATGTGGTCTGCAACCTCCTGCTGCTCCCTGCCTCCTGGGGCATGAGAATGAGCTGGCTGATAAGGGAGATGTTTGATTGCTCCACTGGCCTTGCCAAACCTCTCCTGCTTGCCACTTCAATGGCCTTGGTGACCTTGTATAAAATCTGGTCTTTTACTAGAATTGCCATGGGCTCCCTCTGACAAACTGGGTTTCTTAAAGGACCACTATAGTGCCAGGAAAACATACTCGTTTCCTGCCACTATAGTTCCCTGAGGGTGCCCAGGGACCCCCTCCCGCCCGGCTCTGGAAGGGGGAAAAGGTTAAAAACTTACCTTTTTCCAGCGCTGGGCGGAGAGCTCTCCTCCTTCTCTCCTCCTCCGATCCTCCTCCTGGGCTGAATGCGCACGCGCGGCAAGAGCTGTGCGCGCATTCAGCCCGTCGCATAGGAAAGCATATATATATACATAAGATAATATATTTATTAAATATCTAAGTATATTAAACATGTATATATATATATATTTTATTGCTCCTACTTTTTTCCTCTATTAGTCACTTCCTGCATGATATGTGAATAAAATCAACTTTTTTCCCCATCAATTGTCCCTTTTTTGGCACCACAGAACCTCTGAATCATGAATCAAACAAACTGAATCATTGCTTTCATGTTTATACCATATAGTGTTTTGGAGTTATGGAATTTAGACAATATCCCAAAATTCTGACTAATTACAGCTCATTTTAAACAGCATGTACAAGTGCTGAGAAAAGATATGTACCCACCTCAATATGTATTTGCCCAAAACGTTGCATTACTGGAAACTCAAAGCTAACAATACCAGATTCTGGGATGGTGAATTGTTTTTTCTCAACCATTTCATTATAGGAGACTGGTGTAATGGAGGTGACATACGATTCTGTATCCAGTGTTGTATGGGAAGTGAAATTGTCTTCTATTTCCTGTTGTGCGAATGAGGTGATATTGTCTCCTGTTCTTAATCCTGGCCTTAACCACCACCAAGGGTGATATTGATAAATTGTAACTGTAATATTATGATCTCTTTCTTCTTTTAGTAAAGGTCTTCCATCATGTCTTAGCACCTGTATCTGTTTAAAAAAGGAAGGGTTTTTATTATCAATGTTTTCTGGAATATTTTTTACACTGAATTTAGAATGCCATTGTAGTTTTTATTGTAAAGTTTATCATACTGTTCTTCATAGCATATAGAATATGTATATTACCATCCATATCACCACAATAAACACACTAAAAAACATTAAAAAAATCTTATCACTTAAGAGTTTTTGTATTCATCAGATTACCTCTTTCACCTATTCTTCATTTGTCTGCATATATCTCTATTTCAATAACATAAAGGTCTGTATCAAGGATATTGTAACAGGAGAGAGCAGAAGAGCCCATCTACAAGAGGTTCTCCTTCTCTTTGTTACATAATCTACAGGTCATGCACTGTTGTTGCTATGCTTGCTCTTCTAACAAGTGTATCCCTTTCTTAATGGAAATACAATAATAATGTATATGGTATATCACTCACATTTGGGAAAGCTATAAGACCAGCTCTGAGTTTAACAGCTCTGGTCTTATAGTCCTCTCAAATGTGAGTGATATATTATATACATAATTGTTGTACGTCTTGCACCTAGTTCCAAACGCTCAGCACCGTAACTGGTTATTTTCTGCTTTTATTTTATATATTCCTACCATTTGAAGCCTGGACTGTCACCAGGTGCAGTGACGTTGCTAGGGGGGGGGCAGAGGGGGCCATGGCCCCCCCTACATCATGCTGTGCCCCCCCTTTGGCCCCCCCAAATGCCAGCAACTTGCTGGCCATGGGCTTCCCTCGGACTGTAACAGCCTGTCACAGCCCGAGGGAATGCAGTGCTGAGGTGCTGGGGGCGGTCTGTGGCCGGAGGGAGCACTGATTGGCTCCCCGGCACAGGCCCCGCCCCAAACAAAGCCCCGCCTCCCGCCGATAAGACCCGCCCCCATCGTAAAGCAGCAGCCCATGCTGCTTCAGAAGATGGCTGCCTGACCCCCAGCAACAGCCTCCAGTGACAGGTAGGCTTGGGGGGGGGGGGTTCACACACTATATACACACACATTGCCCCCATACACACACATTGCCCCCCCATACACACACACTGCCTCCCATACTACCCCATCCACACACATTGCCCCCCATCCACACACACTGCCCCCCATACTGCCCCATACACACA